AATCACTAGTGTTTGGACATTTTGCATTTGCTAAACTGTACTACTTTCCACTCTGAACGAACGCTGTTTTGCCATGAAACCTCTTAGTCTTCTAAACTGGCTCCGAAAACTTGACAAATATGTATTGCTGATGCTTTTGCAACTGCTTTGTAGTTGAAACCATTCGACAGCACGTCCTTAATTCCTACAGGTAGCTTTACTAGAATTTAAACTGAAAACATTAAAAGTATGTGTTATCTCAATTGAAATCAAATACATATATATACAAAATGAAATACATGTACAAAAATCCCTTAATACATAACTGTATACAAAAGTTTATATACAAATACATGTAACATGTACTTTGTACTTGGTATGTGACCTAAGTTATTGATACTGAAAAAGTGAATAAAGTTTCAATATTATATCATAACTGGTTTATGGGACAATATTTCATAAACCATCTGACAAAACATTTTAGCTTTTAAAAATGGGCACAAGTATGTCAAATTGTGCGCCACTCATACGAGACTTGGTCATTGATCTTAGATGTCAACACTAAATATGTGTTCTAAGTTTCAAAGGAATCGCTAAAATAGTGTTTGAGAAACCATTTTTCATGAAAATTCTAAACCATGAACTCAAAATCGAAAAAGAGGCATAATTTGATAACAATGCAATTCAGAGATTTCTAACTTAGAGCGTGTTCTAAACAAGTGTGTGAAGTTTCAAAGCTGTATGATTTTTGTTTTTGAAACACCATGTTTCCTGAAACTTCTTAACCACAAATTTCTTTGTCAAAATAAGGCCTATAATGTGGTCTATATTAGATGGACGAAGAATGAACTACGGGTGAAAACCGATTGTTACTGCAGCAAACAACAATGCGAGACCGGTTTGGATTTAAAACTGGAACCCATATAAAAAATAAAGCGTTTGATTCATACGCTGTATGTAAATTTGAGATTATATATCCCTGTTCCGGAAATCAAAATAAAAAATGGATACCAAATGCAATACAATGCAAGCAAAGTATTTTCTTTTCTTAATCAATTTAAAAGGCTTATATAAGAATAACATTCTGTTCTTGCATATGAGCCCACATCTTTTGTTTTTTAAATAAGTCTCCAGGAAACTTAGGTCAATGAACTTACCTCGTCTGAATCGTTGTCATATTCTACCATATTTTCCTTGGAAATTATAATTATAGTGGCAAGCACGTGGGAAATAACAAAATCCATAAGTCAAAAATCAAAAGTCATAAACCAAAAGTCATAAATCAAAAGTCATAAGAAAATAGTAAAATAAATCTATAAGTCGAAACTCAAAAGTGACCCTCCAAGGCTTCCATATAAAGATTATCGATTCACTCTTTGCAAACTTTTTCTCTGCCTGATTGTAATAATATTGATGTGTTTTCATTGGCTTAAACCATCACGTTATCAATACACATACAGGTGTGAACTAATTTCGTGTTCATTAAAATTATTCCGTTAATAGACATATAACAATCTTATTTACAAATGAATTGATAAAACAACAATCCCAGAAGCATTTAAGATAAAATAATCAATGGAAAAAAAATAAATGCATATAAATTGTAAATTTGTGTATGACAACTCACCCCCTAAACAAAACATAATAGACTCAACCAAAACAAGCGTCTGCTTTTTAACCTAACTATGTAGTTGCATGACCATGATTAGCAATAGCAAACCAAATGTAAAAGCTAAAGCTATTGTAAAAATAATACTATGACCACAGCAGATTTCGTACAGAAAAACTGTAAGGCTATGTCGCGTAAATATATCTGACGTCATAGTGGCACAAGGACAGGTCTACCGGCTGAATGGGCAATGGTATGCGCAGTATTCATGATATTGAACGTCGGCTCCGTCTGCAAAATAGAAACAGAAAATTTTATGTACTAATTCATTTAAAGTTTCGCGCATGAATATTTGTTTCTACTCAGTTCAATAAATTCATTATAGAACCTACACTCATTCATTTTTCTTCTGTTATGTATTTTTCTTTCAATGAGCGACCAGTTTGAATAAAGACAGGCTCATCTCATCCGGGTGTAAGCTAGTCACAATTAGTTTTCGTTTTGTAAATGTTTGACGGGTTCAAATATTAAGATTTCGTTATCAGAAATTTGTTTTAGACTTTTTCTTTAGAAAAGAAAATATATCAAGCCGTCCGTACCTTTTTAACATTTTTGCTCTGATGAATGCATTTCTTCTTTCTGATAAGGGGATAAGACCATAATTATCGCACAACACTGGCGATATTTAATATGAAGACAACACTACACAAATGTTTCCTGAAAGTGGGAGGCTTTTCTTTCCATTCTGCTTTTTTATACAAAATATTCCCAAACTATACACGTGTGTTTTAATTGATATATTAACAACGGATATCTATTGTGCCACCAGCTAGAAAGATATTTATATCCGATGGTACAGCATTGTTCAATTAATTATTTCTGACCTGACCAACATTTTTTCAGATATCTATCATTTCCTACATAAAATAATTCATTTTCAGCTGATAGGAGATATGGAAATCCACAAAGTAGTTAAGTGCGCCGTACGTTATCATTGATATTTTGTGCGCCATACGTTATCATTTCCGGAAAATGTCCCGATAAGAAAAATTTCAGCGGTTATTCTAGCCAGAATGGACATGTATGCTTAGATGACGACATATTACAACTTTTTAAAGTCAGTGGTTTCAGGTAATATACATATATGTAAAAGAAACAGTAAATTTTAGAGAAAAAGCGGTACGTTACCACGATAAAACCGGTGGAAAATTCTCTCGCTTCGAATCTGGTGACGCGCATTTCAGATGAAGTACGGAAGGAAACATCATGAAATAAAATCCTGTGTGCCAGGAAAATTGTGGAGAAGGTTGTTATATGTACCTTTACATCAGAACATCACGAATTTCAGAGAAAAAAGGGAAAAACCTACTTTTTGGCTGCATCCGCCATCTTGTTTGTTTGGGTAACGAACGGCGTGATTCTCCCCCTTGACGGTTATAACGTCGCCGTTCAAACGTTTATCTTTTTCCACCTTGTAAATTGTGTCTATTTTTACGCCGTCTCCGTTATTGTTGGATGTATAAGTAACAATGTATTAAATGACTCTTGTAAACTGTACATGTTCAAAAGTAGACAATTATAAATGTACTTCAGATCCAGGAACATGAGACCTGTCTGTTGCTTGACAGTAAAATTGTTTATAAGACACCTAGCATTTGTCAAAGCTTCGTAAATAAACAACAACCAGGCTAATTAATGACATACATGTTAAAGAAATTGTGTGTCCATTTTTTTCGGAACATAATTATAGATTCCTTAATTGAATTTCGTAGCAGTGATTAAAGTCTTGAAAATATTATCAATATGTTATTTAGGAAAACAAAATGTTCTATATGGATTACGGTTATTTTCATGTATAATTCCATTCCAAGTTCATCGTAACGATGTTGCTAGTTGTAAGCATTTCTCGTGCAACCTTCGATATTCTAGTCAGTATCATACAAACGTTTTACGTCGCCGGACTCAAACGTCTGGGTGAAAAACAGACTACTGATAATCTGATTGGCGAATAATGCAGTTTTTATGTTGTGATGATTTGATGCTGGCCATTGATGTTAGATTTTTTTCGGCCAAAGGCCGTCTGATTTCACCTTGACTTCCGCTAAAATTATTAGTAGAGAAATGAACATAGACAGAATTTTCATTGGTCATTTTAACACTTATAGCCTGTTCGATTGATACTTTAGAAGAGCTTCCGTTATATAGGTAGATGTCTGTTCGCTTGCGCGATGGCAAGAAGTGTTGGACAGGCTCAATCAAACCGAGCCTGCAACATTTTCAATTTTGCCGTGTTGGGCTTTCTTTAGGGATTCTGTATTTATCTATTTTTTGAAAAAATATATCAGTTAGAATAAATATAAAAACACAATAATGATATTTTCTAGATGTTTCTAACAGCTTTTCAATAAATATATGAAATTAAATATGACAGGTCGCCTTTTTTATACTTTTTCGTTCGATTGGGTTTCTCTTCTAAGCTGTTCTAGTCAGTATATTATCTTCTCGAACCGGGCATTAAACAATTGAAACGAACTTTCGACTAATTTACAGTAGCAAAATTCTCCGTGGAATTAGTGTATAGTATCTACTAAATGTTTGTTTTATCATAAATTACTATTCAAATCAAATTCCATACTGATTAAAATCAAATAATGTAAATAAAATTGTTTAAATCTAAGACAACAATTAATGGGGAAAAACATTGCGGGTAAAAATGAACTGAAATAAAACTTCGGAGGACGAATAAAATGTTCTGTTTGCGGTTAGCATGGTTAGTTGTAGCTTATCTTATGTTATCGATAATGATGCTGATTATGAAAGTGAACAAGTTTGAATTCGGCCGAGTATATTTTTAAAGATTTTTCTTGTTTATTCATGTCTGCATGTAAGAACAACACACCTGGAGCATTCGTCTTAATTGATATTGAATATTGAAATACATGTACTTCTTAAACCTGAAGGCATTAGTATTTCATCAGGTCCATTCTGCTACTGGTGAAATAGTTGTGTTACAATGACCATAAATTAATTTTGTGCGCCTTCTCGCCATCACATTGTATTATATTTGACTCTATAAACGGAATAAACTAACATCGTTTAAGACATGAATGTCATATGGCGTTGTAAAATAAATCACAAAATATACATACATTGTATTATTATATATTATGTAAATACTGCTTCTGTTTAAATCATGTCTTATATAAGATGCTAATTAAATATGCTATCTAAAGCCGATTTTCTCCCGCTTGATGGACATAATTAAGCCAATTATTAAATGAATGTGAGTTAAGTTTATTTACATGTCAATTAAATTCAAGTTGGAAAACGTTACTACATAACTTTCAGTCGGTGTTTTTTGATTGGGGGATAAACAGGTTTATATGATAAGAAACAAGAAATATATATTTAAGTGTATCAATTTATTTCTAAAATGTATAAAACTATTGAACATGAGCATATTATTATATACATGTATATTTTATGTACATATTTACATGATAAGTGTTTAAAGCACATTACATTTCCTATAAATTAGCACTTTAAAGAAACACAAGTACTGTTATGTATTCATATATATATCTGCCGAATACAGTTTGAAGGAAATAGCGGCTTCCGTATTTTAAAATAAAGAAGATAATGCAAATTTTACATTTTTGCAAAGCCCGGATGAGAAAACTCATGTATAATTTGGAATAAACCTATAGAGATAAAAGGCAAATAGTTCAAAGTTATTGATTAAAGGTCAAAAAAGGAACTCTCACGATGAAGTAAAACCTGTCAAGTATCAGCTCCCGAATAATAATAGTGATAAAATAATTGAGCCGCGTCACGACAAAATCAACATAGTGCATTTGCGACCAGCATGGATCCAGACCAGCCTGCGTCTCCGCGCAGTCTGATCACGATCAATGCTGTTCGCTTACAATCTATAACATGTAGAGAAACTGACAGCGAACAGCATGGATCCTGATCAGACTGTGCGGATGCGCAGGCTGGTCTGGATCCATGGTGGTCGCAAACCCATTATGTTGGTTTTGTCATGACGCGGCTCAATTATGAATATACAGATAAACAACGCCAAAAATTGATATATTTAACTATCTCTTGTGAAAGCACGGTTTGTAACCCCAGACCGAGATTGGTGATTTCTGGATGGCTCCCCGGTAGATATTGTTGACAGTTCAACTTTATAAATATCGAGAGACTCTTCGGGTATTTTGTCTTCCCCTGGACCTATCAATGCTAGCATAGTGGGTAACCATAGTACAGCGTGTAGAACACAGGAACCAGTCGTGATAATTGTTAACTGGAATACAGTAACAAACACGTACGATTCGTCCACTATAAGGACAAGAAGACCTAAGAACTGACCAAATATAGTGTGGAAAATCGCCTGAGAAATAGTACTAAGTACAGTATTCATGCGCGTGGCTCGATTTATGCCCTCTGCTTTCATGAAATGGTAATAAGTGTGAGCAATAACTTCGGTGCTATAGCAGCATCCGATCATATACACAATCATGGGCACCGGGGTAGATAGACTCCGAAAAAGTGTGATATTCCAAATATACCCCCAACCATTGAGAAATAGCAAAACGGAAGTTGAATGGCCATTCCTAAACTTGGGTTTAAAATGAGTGACAGACAGAAAAGGAGAGCAAATTGTATGGCAGCTATCTTCAGAATTTCCCATAGAGGAAGCATATACCAGTCAGTGGCAAGAAAATCTGGAGAGTGGGCAAAGAAATATTTACCATCTTCTACTTGCCATGTAAATGGGGAATCGCTCACGACACCATTATCTTCATTCATTTCATCAACGTCTTCGGCATACTCATTCATATCTTTAATCATTTTCTTCAAGTCTTTCTTAATCTGAATCATAGCTTTAGTAGATGGAACATGATTCGTTTTCATATAGAATCGTGACGCGATCACACGTGGCCGAATCTCGTCAACAACGAGATCGTATTTAAACACGTGATTATTCGGAATAAATTTCTTTTCTACGGAAGAGAGAAAAGCTTTTTCGGTTGTAAGATTTTTATATTCGGTGGATGAATAAGTTTCGAACCAACTGTGAAAAGAATCGGATTTCATGTAGGATTTAGTTTTGATAAGCTTTTCAAAGTCTCTGACGATAGTTCGATTTTGAGTGTAACCATGGGGATGGATTGCTACAAACTGAATGATTGTTTCGTTTTTAAATTCTCGTGTCCAGTATGTGTTCCAGTTAGAGAAATAGGACCTTGGCAAAACTTTACTGATTTGGACAGAATCTATATCGTACAATGTAAGGCCCCATATAACAAATACTAAATATACTAAAAATGATAATATGCTAAACACTTTCATAGGGGTTGTGAGGAAAAATCTAGACATCAGAATTCGTGAATAACGTTCCGGTCCACTTTCCGTGTCTTCTCGCGTTTCAGGGCGTTTACCGGAACAGCAGCAGATTACACAGCAGTTCCTTCCCTCGTCCACGAGCTGTTCACGCGGTGTCAATTTGGTCCAACAACAGAAATGAAGCTCTGCGTCTATACGGTGTTCATGTAAAGCTAGGCATGCCGTGAAAAATACAAAATGGTTGAAGTAGTTAAACAGCATCGTCACAACTGAAAATAAAACAAGTTAACAGTATGATAAATTAATAAATAAACTTAAGAGGGTGGTAACAAATAAACGAAATTACAGGCCCTTTCTTTTACACAGAAATATGTAGCCCTTTTAAAGTGAATTGATGTCATAGTCTAAGCCTATATGTAAAAATATAACCCACATTTAAGATCTTTAATCTGTACCCATTTTTACGAATTTTTCATAATAAATAACATAAATATGTTTGATACACTATTCTAATTGTATGTCATGACAGACGTTTATAGACGTATTTTAGAGCATAAATAATATTAAAAAGCTCCTTTTCTACCATTTTTAAGACAATCGTTATGAGCCCATTTGAATATAATTCATTCAGAAGAATTTATAAAGATTATCATTATTGACTTAATGAATTACCAAAATATATGCAGACAAGTTTTGTGACGTAATAATTTGACGCTATTCCAATAGCAAACGGGATCACGTGACACAGCGTTGTTAGAGTGATAGACGTGGCGGAGTTTTTGACAGCATATGCAACACGTTGATGTGCGTCTTTAACGTCGTTAACGTCTGACAGATTTGACAACGTTATTAAAGCGTTGATAATTTGATGACCTGAAATGAAGAAATATGTTATGTTTTATAACAAATTAGTCTTTTTTCATAAAGATACAATTAAGTACAATTATAAAATAAACATTTTTATAGACTACATATGTTATGTAGCATACTTTTCTTAAATATTCTTAATTAAGACAGACAAGGCAGTTGAACTAAAAGAATTGCCTAGAGCTTTCATCATTTGTGGACAGAATGCGTATATTGGCATTTATTCTCTTATACTATGCTGAAACAGTTTACAGTGGAATTATAACTACATGCATTTAAAAAATAGAATTATAAATAAAAGCTCACACTGAATGAAAAGCGGTATGACCCCGATTGTGTTGGTAAACTCTACACCACAACCCATAAGAAGTCCCCATGCACCAAGCACGCTCACTGGGGTCACGATGATTCCTATTCGTCCTATATGTACTCGTTTTGAGATGATGTTACCCCCGGCCATGACAATACCGAGATAGGTGAGAAAGACAGTGAAAACAAATGAGAAATAAGGAATGTCCATGAACGTGTCGTTGCCTAGTTCCTCGTAGAAAGCTCCAGAATGCGAGAATGTTAGATGAAGGCTTTTCGGATACTGTTTGCTAATGTACTTTTTCATATAGGTTACAAAATGGTCTCTCCAAAGTTTCGAATCTTTGAGCATAGTTTCAGAGTCTTGACGAAGATGAAACCGGATTTTCAGATACTTAGCACTCGTGAGCGTTTCATTTTCAATTGTATAGTCTGCTAAATTAGAAAGAGAAGTTTCATAATTGTCACCGTCTCGGTTAATCAAATTACTAAGAGGTATACTTCCATCGGAATTGTTTTCTATTTGATCTACGATTTCCTCGCCTTGAACCACACATTCACCATTCCTACGCGCACAAACATCCGGGTACTTTGCATATCCACCGTTTGTGGTAAATGTAGAGATATTTTTGACAAACTCAACAATATGTTTTATTTCGTCATATAGAGTGCCGTTAATGAGATTATGTATATTATGCCTCCAAATCATGACTTCACCAAATAGCGGCTGTTTCACGTTCTGGTGGGGATAAAAATCGTACCCGCTCTTGTCCGGAAATAGTTTTAAAAGTTCATTGGCGGTTCTCTCTGTGGGTCCTCCCTTTGGAACATAAAGGTCTTCTATGTCATTATTCAGCAATTTGCTGGCAGGGAGATTTAACATTCCTAGTCCAAGCAAGCCATTGAAAAGGAACGCTATTATTGCTACTTTCCACGGATGTTTAGTTATGCATATTGTTAATACTTCGAAAAAATGTTTAAACGCCTCTCGTGGATCAACTCTGTTTAATTTTTGTTGCCGCTTCTTTTCTTTCTTTGCCCTTTTCCGCGCTTCTTTTTCTGCGGAATGACCCTGAAAATATGAATTCACCTATCTTGATAAATAATTGCCTACAAAAATAAATACTTTTTCTTACGTTTTTAGGTTTTAAATTTTCATTTCAAATCTAAAACTTACATAGTGAATGCAGGAGTATTATTATATTTGTGAATTTTTTTTAAATGAATTTCATAACATAATACTTATTTTAGTTTATCTGTTCTCATATATCGTGCTTTTTCTCTCATTGAAATAATAATTATTTTTTGTTTAAACATATAATAAGAAATTGTAAACAAACATTTACTCTACCATTGTTTATGTTCAGAACGTCCTCAAATGTTCACTGCGAATGTTTTAGGTATCACTATAAAGTAATCCTATCCAGAATGCAACTATTCGTCCGTTTTACCTCTAGCCACTGATGGACAGATATGCATATTTTCACATGTCGACAAGTTTGACTGACAGGCAAATCACGTGCCTTATATCAAACTCACGTGTTATTCACCTGTCATAGCAAATTGCTTGTCATAATTTATTAAGACATGTTTGAAGTCATACTTTATGAATTTATCAAGAGAACAGAAAGGCCAAAACTTAAGCGAAAAAAATGGGGTTTCAGCTAATTCCACGGTCTAAGATTGCATTAAAATTCTATAAATAACTGTCCTGAAGATATTTGTCGTCTGCAAAGTCGGTGACAATGTAATTAATGATATCAAATTAGTTTCTTTGTTGATTTAATATCAAACTGTTCAATGGATTAATCGTGAAAATTTGAATCTGATCAAAGTTAATTGTGGACCATTATCCAGACCGAAATATAAATGTAGAAAAAAAATATGATAATTATTTCATTGCTGCATTGCCGACCTATTTATTTACTATGGTGTTAATATAATATAAATGTGTAAAATGAAATCTTAGTTCTTTTAAATGTTAATTGTAAAAGCTAGACATGGTGATTAAGGGTGGGCGGCCTAGTGGTTAAAGTTCTACCCCTCAACCCAAGTATCATGGGTAAGAAGCATACGAAGATCACGACCACCAGTACAGGCCTTAAGGCCTCGAACAAATTTGTCCGAGCTCAGACTCGTATCTCAGGGATTCTTTTGGTCAGTGCATATTCTATATATGCCGGTTTGTAACCAACCAAATACATGAGATTAAAGTTGGAGCTGAGAAAATTTCTTTATAACCTTTGACCCTGGCAGGATTGAAATTGAATTTAAAAAGATAATAATAATAATAATGATAATAATAATAATAAATTGATAATTAATTTGTCAGAACTTATTTTGTTATCGTGCTTAAAAATTATGTTTAAACTAATAAATTATGAACTAATTATCCTTATTTTTATCTTTTTTATTGATATTTCGTCGTTTTATTCATTTTCTTCAGAATTGTGTTGATAAGAGGCTACTGTTGGGGAATTCATGAAAGTAATCATTTGAAATGTTTTAAGTTTGGAAATAAGTTCGAGGTTAAGAAATAATCGCCCTTAAATATCCCCGCATTATAATGAGAGACATATTCAAGTTAGAGAAATTTAAAATGTCAGTAATGTGATGTAGATAAGAAGGGAAAGAAAATCACATGATTTCTCTCTTCTGCATGATTTACAAATGTCACGTGCCATCTGCAGTTAAACCGGTCTGCTTAATAAGAATTCACAAAAAGCACTCCTGGTATGTCTTTTAACAGGAGCTGCCTATCAAGATTTCATTTAAGAATAGATCTATCATCGATCACATTATGCTTTTCTATACTTGAAACAAAATATAAAACTGAATATCAATGTAAATTAATGATGGAATATTAATATAAAATGTGATCGGAAAACGGCAACGTCATGAAATCACGCGGTTGTGTTTACAGGAAATACTTCACCACTGTTATATCGTCAAATCTAGATATCACGCCGACTATATTATTTATATTTTGTCCACATGACGGATTTACATTTTACATTTCATACAGCAGGAAGAATGCATCAAATGTTCAGACATTCGCACGTAATCTTGCGCACGAGAGGCACCTCTGTAGACCGATTGTTCTTCCTTAGCTTTCTCACATGATCAAATTCATAACTAATGGCTGGAATAGCCACGAAACCATCTAGTGTTCAATACATTAGTTAGAGTCGGGGTGTGAACTAGATCCAGAATAATGTAAGTTTGGAAGGACTTTAATTATATATTATAGAAACGTGATTTTAGAACACACGTACTTTTGTTCTTATATATTTTTTTACTTAACTTGGCCAGTACCTGCAATTATGTAGCTGTCATATATCATGGACATCTGTCATTTTAATCGTCAGTTTTAACCGTCGTGTACTTCAAGAAAACGTCAGTCTCTGTCAAATTATTATCGGGGGTTATATAAATATTATTTATGTAATTTGCCTATTATTGTTCTTTTACGAAACATCTTTTTACCAACATAACTTTGTTTTTTGTTTTTGACTCTATCATAATTGACATTTCTATCTTCTAAGATTTTACTATAGAATGCCAATTTATTGTGTGTTATACATGAGGTATAGTTTATTAGATGGCTAAGAGAATTAACTGAATGTTTAAGAAGTGAATTGTATTATAATTTAAACAGAACAAATGTTTATAATATAAATTTATCATAAGAGTATGTCTTTCTTCTATAGACTATATGAATAAAATAACTTTATATATATGTATATAGTAGACCTCCCTTATTTACATGGGTCCAGACTCACATCATATCCAAGTTTCTACCAGAAACAATGACAAATGTAACAAATCTTCATAAAATATGTCTTTTACTTTATCTCGAGTGATGATTCCTCATAAAACAATGCGGGCACGCACAATTAGTGCACATGTAGTTTATTTTAACTTTATGCACTTTCTTTGAACCAAAACAAACTGTCCTAAACATGGATTGCATGTTCAGAGGAGCTGTTTGTTAGAGACACTTGGTTCATAATTGTGAAAAAACTAATGATTTAACACATCTAATGTAATTTGACAATTAATTAACGTCCATCTGTCAAAACTCACGTGCTTTAACAGATCACGTTAAAAGTGGGTAGGAAACAATTGAATTAGTTGTAACGTAACGTCAAATGACTTTTAACGTGACCATCAGCATAAAACTGTCAATGTTTACATAAAATTAAAATGTTGAATGAAAAACTATTTATTTAAAACAAATCTTAATGCTAAAGAATTAGTGCTTATGTAGAAGTAGCGCAAAATAAAACATTTTACAACGACTCTAATGATATTATTGTTATTATTATGATCATAAAAGTTGCAATTATGTTTTCTGACAAAATATGATAATTTATATTTTGTTTACAAACGCACGGGCACAAATTGCCATATAAAAGTACGGAACTTAAAGTTCACCATCATTTCATAATCAGGCGTTTCATAACAGGTGACAGGCCTTTGACCTGTTAAGGCATTTTTTTATTGGACTACTTCTTATTGCATATTAATGAGAAGGGTGGAGTTAGTATATATATGGTGAGATCAGGAAACACATACGCTGGAAAAAACGAAGATACCATCTCCCGGTAAGAAGTATATATTTTTTAATTTTCTTATACTGTAGCGTTTATAGTTTCATCTAATTGATAGAATTGATATAATAATTAATTGTTATCAGTACTTGTTCAAATAGTTTTACATTTATTTAGTTTTTACCTTGACTTTTAAAATAAATATATATTATGTTTAAATAAGAAATAGTCAGGTTCGATATTTTCTTCCCTTTTTTAAAAATAAAATTAGTCTATAAATTAAGATTAGAACTAGATGAAACATTTTACGAATTGTTTAGAATGATTCACTTTAAGACAGCGATTTCTAAAATAAGTTCTAAATTATATACAGGTTTATATAACGTAAAACATATTTATAATTTATATATGCCACCATGAATGGTTAGTACATGTTTATAGATAAAGGCATCTAAATTAATCTTGTTCCGACATTTACAAAAAAATGAAGAAGATTTTATTTTATGTTTGGCTGTTTAATCTTTCAAACTCATGTCTTGCATGAACACATAAAGACGGTCTAAAAGTAGAAATAAATTACCATGCCTTCATTTGTATCATTCACATCATGTTTTATGAAAAATGTATCACTAACCTATGCAACGTGAAATATTTTATTGTTTATAATTATCTTAAGATAACATTCTTGATTATCATAAATTTGAACTGATAATATTATATATATTGTAAACAGTGTGTTAAGTAAATAAAAAATAAAGGATATTGAATGTGCAAGCATAATATTATTTTATTCAACTCGTTCAAAAAACTTAGGTATTAAACTCACACTCATCAAATATCCTCTATTTATGTAATAAATAAATTCTAACAAAATCAATAACTAAGGCATTAATCAAAGTTTTATGTATTTAAAGAAATATTCTTCGTATTTGCCTTGATAGAGCGGCTCTCCGAAGCGTGACTTAGATTTAAATAGCGTATTGTTAATTCAACTGACATTAAATCTCGCTATAATATATTGTCAAATAAACCATCATGTCATGTGACAACATCGTTTTTCCGGATAATTCTACAGATATTCTTGGCACGTGATTCTGAGAGAGATAGCTAACAATTTATTTATAACTTTTATTTCAAGCAATTGTTGCCATGTCAGCTTCATTTATATGTCAGCACGTGATTCAGGTAATTTTTTTTTGATTTAATGACGTATACATCATACAGTAGTTAATATTTGAAACTGTTGAGCTACTGCAATGTTATTATAGGTTATGAATCAAATTTATCTAGACTCCAATCTATTATGTAGTTCAAATTTAAAGCTTAATAAAAAACAACAACAACAAAAAAAAAAAAAAAAAAAAAAAAACATAAAAAAACAACCGCTAGATGTAATAAAGCTATTGTTGTAACAACTTTTATATATTCATTGAGATGTCAAAGTCTCAGTTTGGGATACTTGTTTCTACATTATAATTGAAAACTGTCCACACAGACGGGCAATATATAATACTTAGTCCACTTGACAATTCAATTCTGACGACAAAAACTCACACAAATAAAAACAAACAACGACAAAAAAAAAAAAAAAAAAAAAAAAAAAAAAACAAAAAAAAACAAGACATAAGTTTTATTACTGTGTGACGTTGATAGATGACAAGCAGACGACGCTAAGCGCATCAGTTTTAATGTACACTCTGACAGTATGGCCGAAACGGCACGCTTAAGGTGATTACTGAGCAATTTTGTGCGGCCATAGGTTGTAAAACATCCTGTCATAGGTTATAGTCTAACCCTAGTATTTTTATGACATGGAAGTATTAAATATGACGTTTTTACACGTCTTATTAGGCCACTATATGATTTTATGGACAGGCTCATGACAAGGATATATTAACGTTCATTTTATTGAGTCTGGTCTTTTTTATGTAACAATATCGCTGAATCACGTGAGGTTTTCACGATGGCATGCTTAAACGATTCCTATGAAAAACACAGTAAATTTAACGTATAGTAAACTATTTCTATTTTCCATATCATACATTTCCCAGTACATAAGTTGATAACTCAGAGATTTATCTCTTTTATTTCTCACGAAATCTGACTTCGGAAACACATGAACTCATTCCGGAAATAAGAATATCTTGGTTTTTCAGCTAATTCAGGGGTGCAAACAAATTTTACAGTTGCAGCTCAAAAATGTCGCAACAGGTTGACTATATTGTGACCGTTAGTTTAACGGTAAAGTTTGAATGTTCGAGAAAAAAACAACAACAACAACACATTTTGACGAGTTCTGGATAGCATAATATATTGAATTTTTCATGATTTTACCTTTGGGCAAAGTTTATTGAGAGTTACGAGGAATCAATTTTAATATCCATGACTACAAAATGTTATAAATATCTTTCCTTCAGACGATGGAAGAAGAAATAGCCATTGTGGGGATAGGATGTCGTTTTCCAGGGGCAGATAATATTGATGAATACTGGCGAGTTCTCGTTAATGGCGAGAATCATGTTGTTGATATTCCACCCGAGAGATGGAACAATGAAGCATTTTACAGTGAAGATAAAGACGAGCCAGGCAAACATTATGTGAAGAAGGCTGGGTTTATCAGCAAGTAAGTATATCAAATATACTGTACGAGAGTTGCAGCGAGTGCCGTCAATAATATTTTGCACACGTGGGAAACCTCGAATAACCTATGGCTTTTTCTTTAAGCAAATCTAATTTATGTACATAATTGTTAACAACTATTAAATAAAAATAATATTTGATAAGAATCAATTGATTTTGATCCTTATCATTGTAGTTTGCAATCACGTGATAAGAGACGTAATATATATCATTTTCAGATTCACATTTTTTTTTAAATCCCGTGATATACTGATTACAGATATAAACTTCCATATTCTATTTATGACAAATTTACTTCATTCTATTTATGGCAAAATTACTTCATGTGAAGTTTTATTAACAACTAACAAAATAGGAAAAGCTAATTAATTATTTGAAGGTGTTCTTAATGAAAGACATGAGGTCATGATAAATGTGTCAAGTAAGTGTAATGAGCGTAGTAATGTTTTCACTTGACTGACACTATTGGTAATCATTTGATTTATGTTATAATGCGACATGATCATATAAAAATTATTTCTATTCTTTATGCAATCTATAAGTTCACAAATATATGCCGACAAGTGTGTTTAATGAAATATTCTTATAAGGCATGAAAAGTGCAAACACGTTTATTAATTAAATAATGAAATATGTTTAAAGACAGCTTTAACATTTTCATATCATGAAAACTGACACTCTAAACTGAGTTGCCGTGTTTAATATACACCGAGGTTAAGAGCTAACATTTTAACTCTTTCGAAAATGCCAAGCACTTTAACTTAATTTTATTTTGACAAACCGTTGCATTAACTTGAAATTGCTCAACTTATCATTAAATCATGGCTTTTGATGGGTGAATTAATTAACATATTAACCAAAGTTCACGATAAATGATCCGCGTCATGACAAAACCAACATAATGGGTTTGCGACCAGCATGGATCCAGACCATCCTTCGTATCCGCGCAGTCTGATCAGGATCCATGCTGTTCGCTAACAAACTTTATTACAAATAAAGAAACTGATAGCGAACAGCATGGATCCTGATCAGACTGCGCGTACACGCAGGCTGGTCTGGATCCATGCTGGTCCCAAACGCATTACGTTGGTTTTGTCGTGACGCGGCTCAAATCATCTGCTCTCGTTTTCAGACACGATGAATGGGACAACAAATTGTTCCAGGTAAGTGAGAATGAGGCGGAACGTGTCGACCCCCAGCAGAGATATGTTCTTGAGTGTACACATATGGCAATGGAAGATGGCGGCATTACGAGGAAAGATCTGCAGGGATCTTCAACCGGTGTTTATATCGGTAAGTTATCAATGCCATTATTTCTTTTATTCATGTCTTTTTTATACGGTCACAATAAAAAAAAGAATTCGTTTAAAAGCAAAGAAAACAATTAACGATTAAGTCAAACTGCTTTTATAATGAAATGTAATATTCTTCTAACGATTATATTTTACAAAGTCAGGATCAGAATTAAAGCATTCATATCAAGTTAAAATTTTAATTGCTCCAGGTGTTATGAATGATGACTACAAAGTAATCGCCAGTTCAGACCACAACGACGACACGAACTATTCGGCAACAGGAATGAGTACTACAATAATAGCTTCCCGTGTATCATTCACGTATAACTTACAAGGACCTTGTATGGTGATAGATACCGCGTGCTCATCTTCTATGATAGCCATACATCTTGGTAGTCAAGCTATTAGGACAGGTATGTTAATAAATGTTATTCGTATGGTATGGACTAAGTAATATAAAGCTGAAGTTGGAGAATGATATTCCATATTTTGACCATGAGTTGCCTAAAATATAAATTGATTTCTTTTTATATTCTGGCAAATAGATAGATAGATAAATAAATAAATAAATAAAACAGGTAAACGCAAATTTTTAGATAATTAAGTTGTTCAATACAATTCACACTTGATTACACGGATAACCAATCATTTTTTATTGTTCTTTCTTACCTAGAATCAAACTTTTTGAAAACCAATCACTATATATTTGTGAGTTTTGTAACTTCTATCTAACTGATAGTCAATCTTGTAAAATATGTTCTTGTAACTGATTGCATAAGAGTAGACAAGTAACTGATGTTTAGAAAGCCGCATTTCTCATACATTTACCAGCCTATGGTTTTTCTTTTAAGGTGATTGTGAGATGGCAGTTTGTGGCGGTGTTAGTAGCATTATATCTCCAGATACATTTATGGCCCTGTGTAAAGCCCGGATGATGTCACCGACAGGTCAATGTCAAACGTTTTGTGACACCGCCGACGGATACGCACGTGGGGAAGGATGTGGAATTGTTATACTAAAGTCTTATGCAAAGGTATACACTTTCCCTCCAATATGAATTAAGTATCAATGTATAATATAAAACAAAGTTGAATACAGAGTTACTAGTAACATATTTGACACATTGTAGAAGCATACATCAAACAACTTTGTTCAAGTTACCATATTGTTTTGACAGGCAATTAGGGACGGAAACAAAATTTGGGGAATCGTAAAAACTGGAAGCAACCAGGACGGACGAGTGTCTCAGCCTATCACCGCGCCGTCTGGAGATCAACAAGAAGAATTGCTGAAAAAAGTTTATAAACAATATAACGTGGATCCCTCATCTCTACAGTACATTGAGGCGCATGGTATGTTTCAAATGTAATTATGATGAGGAAATGTAAATGTATATCACAGCTCTGTAAAAATTTAATGCCTAAAAAAATGAAAAAATGTACCACGTCTTTATGTTAAGAAATTATTGATATCATCTGAATGTTACATTAAAATTTATCCTAAATGATAAATTATTGTCTTAGTTGTAAAAGATAGATTTTCGGATAACACTAAAAAACTATAGCCCGTGTCTATTGTAGAAATAGCACATAATACTGAGGGCCTCATAACATTATGGTCACTGATCAGTCCGCCCGAAAACATTTAATAGACTGAAGCCTAAGACTGAGGATTGTTCAAATGTTTACGGCTGTCTTGGAGGTCACTAAAATGCTATTTGGTCCGAAGTACTGTTTGCTATTTCTTATATTATAATTTACTTTATAAGCCCATACTTGTAAAAATCAACAAATGAAATCATATTGTTTAAATAACACTATTTTAAGTAAAATATACGGAAAATTGTTGGCAGTCAGCTACACGCTGCTAAATTCTAGCGGGTTTGACAAAAAGATAATAGTGCGCGCTAAGGCTGTCACTGTACTTTAATGTCGGACCGATCACGTCGTCGTTTACATACATTTTTGTATTTAAAGGCTTGCTTACATTATATAGATAAAGAAGGAATATATATATTTAAGGTAAAATATTTTGTAATAGTAAAATCAACTTTCTCGATATTTTGTTGATAATGTCTTTTGTATCTAATTTTTTTCTTGCTTTAATAATATTTAGGGACTGGAACACCAATTGGAGATCCAACGGAAGCCAATGCACTAGGAAGATTTATTTCATTGCATCGTGGAAAAGGTATCAATGATTCAGCCTCAGATGATGAAAGTTTGTCTTCAAAACCTGACAGTGGAAACCCGTCAGAATCAGAACCGTCAGACAGCGAAAGAGAAGATACAGTGGAATCTAAGGAAGAAATATCTGACGATGTGAACTCTTTAGACAATCAATGTATGCATCCTGGTAAGATTATTCCTATTGGATCTGTTAAGACTAACATTGGTCATACTGAATCAGCCGCGGGTGTTGCAGCACTTATCAAAGTGTTATTGATGATGAAAAATGGAAAAATTGTACCAAGCCTTCATGTTAAGAAAGACAAATCTAATTTGAATCAGAAGATTAAACTAGATGAATATGGTTTAGACATAGCTCTTGACGTAGCAGATTGGTTGCCAAATGAAGCGGGTGAAAGAATTTGCTGTGTAAATTCGTTTGGATTCGGCGGATCAAATAGTCACGCCATTGTGATGCAGAACACACGTATGCCGTATCCTTCAATAAACCGACCCCATCCAGTCGAATTATCGACATACGATGTAATTTGTCTATCGGCGTTAGATGCTAACTCGTTGAAAAATACAATGGCATTGGTAGAACAGGACCTGATGGACGATGTTAATTTGCAAGACTTATCATATACATCGGCATTTCATCGGGATCACTACCCTGCACGTACTATACTATTTGGAACTGATGTTGAAGAAATACAACAGCAACTAAAAGTGAAAATGCAAAGTATTGATAAACTAGAGACAAGCAAAAGTACTCGAAAAGTATTTGTGTTTTGCGGAGTAGGTACAACCTGGCAAGGTATGTGTGCTGAAATGATGGCTTCACAACCTGTGTTTAGAAATACAATATCAATAATTGATCAGTATCTACAACCATTGTCTGGATGGAGCATAGCTGATAAGTTTAAAAATGTTGAAACAGATTACAGTGACCCATTCTTGAATCATATTGCAATATTTTGTACTCAGGTGGCCTTATTTGCATTATGGAAAAGCTGGGGTGTTACACCCGACAGTATTATTGGTCAATCTGTTGGGGAAGTTGCAGCAGCGCATGCGTCAGGAGCACTTCCTCTCAAAGATGCCGTTAATGTTATTTATTACAGATCCAAGATCCTGGCTGAAATGACTGGTGGAAAAATGATGGTTGCAGGCAACTATGCTATTGAAAATATTGAGGCTTTGTGCGAGAAATACGACAATAAAGTCACAATTGCTGTATACAACAGTCCAAGTTCGTGTACTCTTTCTGGGGACGCTGATGTCATGGAAAAAATAAAGTCAGAACTAGAGGACTTGAATGATAAAGACAACGCAGATATAATGATAAGACCCCTGTCTGTGCAATGTGCATACCATAGCCACCAAGTTGATTCATGCATGAATATAATTGAGTCACAGTTAAAAGATATACATAAAGGGGTTCGCAGAATAGAACATATTTCAACTGTCACGGGTGATATCGCCGAAAATGAAGAATTTCAAACTGGAAAATACTGGGCTGAAAATATCCGCCAGCCAGTTAAATTTATGCATGCGATCTTAAAAGCATCTCGAGAAGGAGTTACGAATGTGTTTATAGAGATTGGTCCAAGGCAAGTTCTGCGAGCACATTTGCCCAACATCATGGGCGAATCATTCAAGGGAATCTCTCTTCCGTCAATGAACGGCAAAAAAGAATGTGTCAGTGTTTATTCATCACTGAGTACTCTTTTTGAGTTAGGATCTGAAATAGATTGGAGAGGTATAATTTCAACATCTGGTATTCCAATTGCATCGCCACGATACGGATTTAACAAGACAAAGTTTCTTTATATTCCAGAGTCTGCTGCACAGATGTTACAAGGAATACCATTTAATTCGGACCCTCACATGTATGTTCGAAGAAATGGTGGAGACAGTGCCGAGTTTCGTATCCTTATTGAGAAGGAATCCACACCTTTTGTGTACGACCATTACTTTCTAAACGCAATCTTAGTTCCCGGTGCAACATATGTTGAAGCAGCATTTGAATGTGGTCAAAGGAAGTCTAACTTGAATGCGTATGAGCTTTCTGTTTCCACAGAATTTGTTAAGCCGTTCACACCTCCAGACGAAAAACAATACCAAATTGATATTGAAATGACTGAAGATGAAGACATTGACGGACACCGATATGCAATGAAGAGAGATAATCGCACTCTCTGTCATGGGACAATTGTCCGAAGGAGTGAGCCGGAAAGGGCGATCGTTGACATTTCTCATATTCAGTCCAGATGTAAAACATATAAAAACAAAGAAGAGAGTTATGCCTGTTTGGAAAGAATCGACTTCAATTACGGGGAATCACTTAGCTTGATAGAACAGTCATGGTCTTCACCTTCTGAATGTCTAGCCGAGTTTATTGTTCCAGAGGAAGTAAAGATACAAGGAAAAGCAACACATCTGCATCCGTCAATCATTGATGCCATGTTTCAAACATTTGGTATATTAAGTACTCTTGGTACAGATGGTCCGACATTACCAAAGGGTCTCAGCTCTATTGTTATAAACAGACCTCCTCAAGCGCGAATGTTCGGTTATTCACAGATGGTGAAAGCAACCCCAATAGGGAACCACTACAATTCAATGTTACTCTCAACAGACGGCCATGTGATAGCAGAAATAAAAAACTTTTACACGAAAACAATCAGGATATCCGATGCACCAAACCAAAGTATAGTTTATGATGTAACTTGGCATAAGGTCAAAGAAGAAGAAATCAGACAGGAAGAAGAAGAGCAATCGAATGGTCGCATAGTTGTTTTTGGAACCAGACGATTTATCAACTGTTACCAATATGCCGACGATACAAACTCAACTTCTTATGAATTAAACGACAGTCTTGCAGATACAGAATCAATGTACAGAATGGCTTTTGATCAAATCAACAATATTCGTGCATTTGTCTTTGCTCCCTGTTATCATGTGCAAAATTTGAATAATGGAAATAAATCAGTTTATCAATGTGCGAAACACACATTTCTATCCCTTGCAACATTAATTAAGGTTATCCAAGAAAACAACGTCACGTTGCCTATTTTTGTGATTACTGAGAATGTAAAAGCAGCACCAGACCGTAATATATCTGCTTCGAATGTTTGTGGAGGAGAACTATGGGGCATGGTCAGATCAGCAATGGCCGAGACAGCCTACGGTGACCTCAGAATAATTGATATGTCACTGACAGATGAAAATGCTATCGCTCTAGAATCTGTTCTAAACAGAAATACAGTTAATTACAGCGAATACTTGATTGATAGCGGGAATGTTTTCTATAACGAATTCATTGAAGACCCAGAACAAGATATCGAGCCAAACTACCGTGAGTTAGACTACGAACATACAGAAGACCTTATTTTGAAATCAACAAACCCTGCAGTTGTTACAAATCCACATTTTCAACTCAAGATGAAGAAAAAAGAAGAGACTGGAATTTTTAACAGCTGCAAGATACGTTTGAACTCAATCTTTCTTCATGATTCTGCGATGTATCCTACATCAACAGTGTCCGAAGATGCCGAAAACAACTTCTGGCCAGAAAATGACGAAAACGGATTTCAAGTTGTTTGCATTGAAGGTATTGGATGGTTAGAAGATAAAAATAAAAAGGCAAAAAAAGTAATGGAAAAGACACCAAAAGTTGGATTTTGCTATCCTGTTGATGTGTCGTCAATTGTTAGCATTCCATCAAAATGCACATTTGATATCGGTTGTTTGCAAACATACACTCCCGGAACAATGTCAGTAGGGGTGTTACTATGGAACATTGTTGAGCTTTGCAAACAAACATCAAGCATATTTGTAATTGTAGAGGACGACTCAAGTTCATGGATAAATCTTTTAAAGGCACTGTTAAGTAAAATGAAGAAGGTAAGCATAAAGATAGAGGCAAAGGAAAAGGTGGTAGATCCTTCAATAGAATTTGCAATATCTGCTCAAACATTAGTTGTGTTGTCTACAATAACAGCTGGACATATAGAAGTTCTCCGACGAAAGTTTTCTACAGTCCAGAAAATCATTAGTATTGAAGAATATTTCCCCAGATACATGCAAAGATGGATGCATCACAACATGAAAAGCATTGTTGTACATATACTAAACACCGAAAAGCTTTTTACATACTCTGAGCTCACTGATAAGGTACCAAAGGTGTACAATTGGCTGAAAACACTTGATAACAGTGTGAAAGATTCACTTACAGAAATATCAACAGATGAGTATTATGAAGAGAAGGAAACGTCCATCTTTAATCTGCCGTATCCTGAGCTTCATTTAAATGAGGGGAAAAATACCGAAAATTACATTCCGCTTAAAGTGTTCAGAACAGAAATCTTTCGGAAAAATGGTTGCTACGTTTTAATTGGAGGTTTAACGGGGTTGGGTTGGGAGCTTTTGCTACTGATGGCTGAGCTTGGAGCTGGATACATATCGACATTCTCTAGGCGCCCACCTTCTGACGAAAAACAAGTAGAGATTGAAGAAGTTCAGAAAAGATTTGGATGTAGAATACTGCCAATGCAAGTAGATATCACTGATATAGATGGCCTAAAGAAAACGTTACTTGATTTACAATTGAAGTTAGGCGAGGCTCAAATAAAAGGAGTATTTCATGGAGGCGGCGTGATAAATGATATGCTTCTGAACAACATGACATTGGAGGATGTTGAGAAGCCTTTACAGCCCAAAGTTCTCGGTACGTGGAATCTTCATATGGCAACGCTCGATTTACCACTCGATTACTTTGTTCTCCACTCATCTATAGTAGCTATATTTGGAAATCCAGGTCAGTGTAATTATTCTGCAGGTAACTCATTTCAAGACTCATTTGCTCATTACAGAAGAAGTCTCGGATTGTGTGGTCAGAGTATTAATTGGAGTACACTCTCTCTTGGAATGGCTGCAGAAAACACAGAAATGGAGAAAAACTTCAAAAGTCAAGGGTTTTATTATCTGCACAAAGATGACATCAGAGCATGTTTCATGAGGGCTGTGATGACGAATCCTCCACAAGTTACTTTTGGAGTTTTTGATTGGTCGATTATGGAATTCCATCCGACAATCAAATCGTATCCTTTCAAATTTGTTGGACTGTTGGATAAGTATGGAACAAAGAATGCTACGTTCAAAAAGACAGATTCAAAATATAGCTTTGATATAGAAGAATATAACAATGCTAACGATGAAGAAAAGAAAGAAATGATAATGGACCTCATAAAGAAAATGGCCGCGGATACATTCATTGCTGATGATAGTGCCCTCAGTGCAGAGACTCGCTTCGTAGAACTTGGAATTGATTCAATGGCTGCAATGAGCTTTGCGAATTCGGTTTTCGATACTATGCAAGTTAGAATTCCTGTCGTCACTTTGCTATCCGATACAACGACCATTGAATCACTCACTTTATATCTTACAGAAAATATACAAAATGGCGGAGGCTCTTCTTCCACGGGCGGCGGTGACGGACAAGCTGAAACAAACCGAGAAGACAACAGAAAGCTTTTGGACTATTTACGAGGAACAGTAACCTTCATGCAAAGAAGTTTGCTGAATGATTATGTTAAGAACCCACACAGTCGAAACTTATCACGACAGGCAGATTATGAAGTAACAGGCCTCAAGCTTAAGCCAAAAGACTGGAGAGTGATTCTTAATCACCTGGTTAAAATGAATCCGGAACTTCGTAGAATCTATAAAATTAATAAAGAAGAATTAACATATGAGTCAGTATTGCTTCCTGCTGATGAAGTAGAGGTTGAAATGCAGCAAGTGCCCTTTGAAAGCATTTGCAACGGACAGGAAACTGATGATCGAGATCAAGTTTATTTTGATTTAACAACGGATCTTCCAATTCGTTTCAAAATTGCTTGTAAAAAGAATGTTACTCGCATGAGGATGTTCATACATTCTGTGATATCCGATTTATCCGGTGTTGCCATGCTTTTCAGAGATATTGGTTCCTACATGAAACCATACATTTGCAATGAGTCTCTGCCAGAGAAGGATACGAGTATTGTGCCAGCCGATGCCGTAAGAACTGCATTGAACCCAAGAATGCCTGACCTGAAGCAATACTGGAAAATGCAGTTGTCTCAGGATGTTCATCCTTTTACATTTTCTGATGACATCGAAGAAGAACTAGATGAGGCCAACTGGTATCAGTTTGCAGAGGATGTTCCACTTGAGCTTGTTAACGATATACTGAATTACACGAAATCATCGGGGCTATCTCTATACAACTTCATTGTCCCAGTCTATATGCTATTTTTATACGAGAAAACGAACAAAGACCTTATTCCGCTGGTCACAAATAATGACATGAGGGGACATGTTCCACAACTGAAATCTTTTGTCACCCGCTGTATCAATGCCATGCCTGTAATAGGTGACATGCGTAATCTCGGAAAAGTCAGTGACTACATTAAAAAGAGTTCCACTAGTTTACATCGCATAACGCAACAAAGCGCATTCCCTTATGCATTAATACAAGACGAAATGCCTACAGAGGAACTTAAGAAGCATATTGGTCGACATAGGATTGTAATGGACAACATGGCACACCTAAATCAAACATATAAACACAATAGAGTTACAATTAAAGTATCAAATGTCCACCATACACGATATGTGTACGAGACCACATTGTACATTATGTATGACCTTCAGGAGAACAAGGTTGCTCTTCAGTATGGATACAACACACGCGCCGTGAAACATGAAGACGCTGCTATTGTTCCAGGAAGAATCATGGAGTTAATGAGGGCGTTCTTAGATCATCCCGATGCTGAGATTAGCGATATTTTAAGTGGGAACATCGTGATCAACAGCATTCCAAAGAGTATCAAAGCGCCTCATATGAAAATCAGCAATGAGCACAATTCTGTCACTGATAAGAAGTCACCGATAAAGCAGAGGAAGCCATCTAAAACCTCAAAAAGGACCAGTGAATTCACAAACAGTCTGGGTAGTGATATTTCGATTCTGCGACAAGGTAAGTCTGGCGTTTACCTAAGATGATTTCAAAAGAGAATATTGTACTATACATTGCAAAAATATTATTCGAAATTATGGTCTCAAATTTTTTAAATATTTTTAATAAAACCATTAAATTCATATGAATTGACCTGGAAGTTGTCAGTTAATATATTAATATCACATTTATCTTTTCATTTACAGATTGTTTTATAAAGCAGACCAGCCAAGGTTGGGAACACACAGTTCAAGTGTCTCTAGCACTAGATATGTCGATCAAAAGCAGTGGCGAACTTGTTTTACAGTGGGGTAAAATAAATAGCTCATACAAGAGGCACCTGCAGGTGGATTCTATATCAGAAGTTTCTGTGAAGAAACTAAATGGTAAATAGTATTTGCATACACTTTAATTGTTTAAGCACAAAAGTAAGCAGGGTCATTTTGAATACATTAATTAATGATTTGATAGTGTGGCCGTGCTGCCGAACGCTTAATACATTAACAAAATGAAAGTGCACTTTAACCTAGCAACTAAGAAAATTTGCTTCTCTCGACTATATTTGACGTCTCTGAATGCAAAGCAGAATTATGTACGTTCAACATTGTACCAATTGTTCTTGCGTTATACATCTATTGACTAGTTTCTTATTATTTCAGGAATGTACAATATATTCCTGCGAACGGCCAACAAATGGTTTGTTCTTAAAACTATGTCACAAAACCAGGCAACTGATTGGCTTGAGACTTTAAAAAATGCCGTAGAGGAGAGAAAACGACCAGGACAAAGAAATGTTAAAATGCTTGTTGAACATTTATAAAAAATATGGTGTTGTTCAAAGTATGATTATGCTAGGTGGTACTTGTCGGTCACATATGTTCTATTATGTGCCGGTACGTCCATGGATATTGTTATGAATGTAATATGTGTTGTAAATACCTGACTGTGTTCTGTTGGTGTATTTTCTCTTTTATTAGCTACATGATTATATGGAGTAATATTAGCATCGAAGTGTCTTACTTTAAGAAAGACCGACAACGATCAATTCCGAATAAAGTAACGAGTGTTCTTGCTAAAATAGATATTCAAATGTTTTAGTAGTTTCTAATATAACTATTATTTTTAACAGTTCATTGTTATGTTAATACATAGCATATTGTTATGAATATGTATGTGTATGTTGAAAGAGAAATTGTTATGTAATGCATGATCTTATTTCAAAAATAAGCAAATGTTTTGTTGTACAATTTAAATTACCATAAACCTTTATGGTATTTCTTTTTTACGTTAAATTTTGCATACTTTGCCTTCATTTAAATGTTGTTTTGTAACGAGAAAATAGTTCCACTTTCTTTGTTTAAACTTGAATGTTGTTCAAAGAAATACTTTTAAAATAGAAGAACAATAGGCTTTGTAATTTGTTACATTCTTTTTGACATAATATCAAGCCATTTTGATATAGTGTTAAATTTAAAATGAATTCATTTCTTTTTGTTATCAGTTATCAATATAGTTCATTTACAGAGATAGTTGTTTAAAAGAAATGCTTTAGAAATGCTAAATGAATGTTCAAGGTTTATTATTTAATAAATAAAGAAAGCTAATGACAACTAATTTGAGTTTATCCATATATTTCGTTCCCTCATTGATATCTATTGAAACTTTATGTAAATATATAGGTATGTTTCTATGAGTACTCAGAAGTTCTCAGACCCGTAATTTTAATAAATCCCATGTCCGGAAAAGGCTTTTATTAGCATTATATGCTTTTTGATCTGATCATTTTTTTTCAGCATCATAATGGTATGCACATTTTGTTTGTGCAAAATGTTGGAAAGGAAATGAATATGTTTCAACTAATTTCTCAGAAAACTTACTTGTCACCTGACAAAACTTTTAGCTACAATTTAAAGTAATAAAACCATTATTTTCTTTAAATCAGATGACTTCATTTGATTTCTACATCATATACCTCTCACGTAATTCTGTATATTACAAAAGTGTAAAATGAATACCACATTTATTCTATTTTAAGCGTCTGTTTATAAATACAAATGATATAAATCATTTGATAAAACGAATATATTTGACATTCGTTGTCATTTGATAAAAACCATAATTATGAAAATCATCTAGGAAAACGGAAGTGAATTAAATGTAAGCATCTGACTTTATTTTCATGAATTAATTTCATAAAATATTATATCAAATGACAACTCATCTAAGATGCTATATATAAGATACTGGTAATAAAACATTCACATTGCATAAGCAGCCTTTGTTTGCAAAAACAACCTGCTGAATTGACTATCAAAATACTCCTTTACTATCAATTACTGATTATGTCGGTCTAAAGTATAATTTCATGAATAAATTTACAACAAATCATTTGCTCTCTGTGTGAAAAAACGTTCTTTTGTGGTAATTTGTTACTGTTAACACTTCATTTGTTACTTTCATAAAATGAATATCTGAAAGAGAAAAACAAAATTAAATTAAACTCGTCAGATTTTAGGAACTTGTTTCGAAAATAATACACATCTGACACACAATTGCAAGTAACGTACATAGTTTTAATCTTCCTGTTTGCATCTGTGTACTTAGCACAGAATTATTAACATACTAATGCCAACTAAAAGAGTAAAACATATTGTCTATATTTAATGTATTTATTACTAAGAAATATACATTGTCATATTTCTTACGTGATTACAAGATTTAGGAGGAATAAGCGACTCTGGTTTTTAATAACAACAATCACAAATTTTTTTAAAGGTCAGTAATTCTTTTTTCTTTGATAAAGATAGACATGCGTTTTATTAAGGTAAGATAAATCCTATTTTGACTTGCATACAAAATACCTAATATATAAATGTATTTATTGCCAACATGCGGTAGCAAACAAACAGAAGCAAAAGATGGTTTAGGTAATTAGCCAAAGTGTTACTTTATGGAAACTATAACAGGACACAAACAATAAAAAGGCTTTTTTAGAATAAAAAATAAAAGGCAAAATGGGCCTTTAAAAAAATCACGATACATCGATCTTATGTGATACAAATATCGGTACATTTTTAATTAATTTCGATACCAAGTCAAAATTGTGTGATATACCATACATGCCGATTTAAAGATTATAGCATGCTCGTATTTACTGACCTATCCAGTCATTTATCCAAATTAATGATTTTATTATAGATGTCATCTAAAAGTTCCCGTCAAAGAAAAACGTTGTTTATTAGATTATTAAGGTTGTCTGTTGGGCAACATTATTTCCTCTTCTATACTTTGTCTATTATATCTGTCTGTGTAAATGCGGCTGTAATTAGCTGATTTATATGATATGTCCTTCATAATTTATTTCACTACTCTCACATCATAAAGGCCTTATCAGGTCAATAAAATAGAGGAGAAGACCACCACAGATCGCCTTTACGCACTTTGCAACCAAGCAATATCTTATACTGGTAAATTGCTATTTTTGTAATAAAACGATTTTTATCAAATACATATCTCTTTTCTTATTACCATTTTTAAAATTTACAGTAAACTTTTTGATGTCTGTGGTCTTTGCAAGATCTTTCTTAATATTTTAATAAAAAAAGCAAAAGATAAAATTGTATTTGTATAAACTTAATAGCAATAAGAAGCCGAAAAATAAAACAGACATATTCAAGCTTGTTTTCATGCACAAATGTATAACATAAATGTTCGAGTAAGTTAAAGGATAATATTAAATAAATACCAGTCTTAATACAATCTGCAGATTTTAAAGAATGCAATTCGTTATTAACATTTTGAAAAACGATATATGGTCGTATATTACTTTTGTGGGCCATATAAATCAAGCCGCACGGGGCTTATTGTAAAATGCTTAAACCTGGTACATATATGATACGAGTTAACACTGGTATAGAATAACTCAATTTAAGATGTTTAAATTTGAAACCATTGATATAATATTACATTCCTAGATCAGTATTTTCCATCGAATATTGCTTGGAAACATGAAATTAAATACGACGACAACAACGAACAACGAACAACAACAACAACAGTTTGTGTTGCAAAATGTCCATTTCTTTTAAAGAATATTTGAAAAAAAAAACCAGAAAGGCACAAGAATGCCAATGAAACCAGTTTGTTTTAACATGAAATAAGAAATAAGTTCAATGTCATTTTCGTGTCTCAATTATAAACAGATTTTTATTGAGAAATAGCTTAATTTATATTTTGTCATTTTGTTTTAGCGATTTTATAACACTTCATATTTACAAAGTTGATTTTAACTGGATAGTCGCGACTTTAAATAAGCTATAAACAAGATTACTGTTATAATATTTAAACAAAAGAATTGCGCTGTAATAATAATTCGTTTTTAAAGATTTTTGACAGGTTATATATCCGTGTATAAATGAGTGTCTACCCAACAGTCTTTACAAGGACATATAACCTGTCAAAATTCTTTTTCATGATATTATTTCTTTGATTGTAACGTTTCTCATCGTAAGTTTATTATTGAGTAATTAATATAGTTATGGTATTTACATGTGGTGATTTAGTAAGAAATGTGGCGTTACTTTGACAACTTCATTAATCATGCCCGAATACGCCACTTGCATTTTTATATCTGCTAAAAGTACACAATTAAAGCGCCCACCTAACACACTGATAGCACTATGATGTAGTGCATGTGGTATTTTTTACAGCTATTTGTCAGTTGTGATCAATGTCTTATTGATACGAAATGTTCACTTGTATTGTCCAACAACTTTGACCTGGCACTTCATTAACTTTCGTAAAGGTCATTTGAATAAACACTGACCAGTATCTATCGAATATATGGATATATTTGATAACCTCACTCGTTAGTGAGGTGTGGTGTATTGGTATCGATGTCGGACTACCGATCTGACTGTCTCTGGTTCGATTCACCATGTTTAGATTTTTTTAATTTAATTGCAAGAATCAATTTGAAATCGTTTAACTGCACCTAGCTTGAGAATACACAATAATATGATACTTTGTGTCATTATGCAGTCGTATATCCTTTAGTGCATATAAAGACAGTTATTAATCAAAAATACTACACAGATATCACGCACGCACTCACGTATGCACGCACGCACATACTTATACTTATACACAACAAAAAGGTTTGCAATAGCTTAAAAAGAATGGCAACTTTAAAATTAGAATAAAAAATGAAATCCCTGAAAAAGGATTCGAACCTATCAATTAACGTCTAAATTCTTCAAGTGAAGCTCCTTAAAGCTGCGGTCTCACTTACTCCCGGCAGAGCCCAGGACCATCCCGGTAAGTTTCGCGCGTTTTCAATCCACCGGGGTTCTACCGGGGCTCTGCCTGGATCTTCCTTGGCTCTGCCGGGGCTCTGTCTTTATCGACCGCGGCTCTGCATGGGTCAACCGGGGCTCTTCCGGCGTCATCCGGGAACGACCGTGGAAGCACCGGCATGAACCGTAGGTTCACATGGGCTCTGTCTGGATGATCCGGAGCGCATCCAGCCAATGGTAAATCGCAGTGAGTTGTCGTTCCTTTGTAGGTGTCGCCACTTTACCCGGTCCATAAATATCCGGCGTACTCGGATTTTATCCTACTACAAACCAGGAAGTAAAGTTATATCTTTGTGATTTTTAACAAAAATTCTAAGTTAATAATGCCGAGTACGTGTTGTTGTGTACCAAATTGTCACAAAAGAGGAGGGCATGAATTCCCAACCGAAAAAGACCGACGGGAGAAATGGATTGTAGCCATAAAACGCCTCGATGTTGAAACAATGAAAAACTGGATACCATCGGCTTCAGCCGTTGTGTGCAAGTCGCATTTTAGGCCTGAAGATTACCTTCAGCAAACAAAAGACGGTATGTTTCGTTCATAAATTGTTAAAACATTTAGGAATAAACAAAAATTGGTACATTATACGTTCTGTTATGGTAAAATTGGATACAAATAATGATGTGTGTCAGTGGGTGGGGTAAAGCTGAAGGCTTGTGTTGCACAATGTGGGATATAATTTATAAGTTAATGGTTGACCTAGCTGTGACAACCTATATAAATATGATAAACCTTTCTACTATTTATAATGAATTGATCAGTATTATATGATGTTATACAAGTGATTTTTAATTTAGTGCAGCTGCTGATAAAACAAATTGATATTAGGGATAAACTATGCACCGGTCTCTCCCGGTCTATTTTGACCAGGGATATAGTATCATAATTCATATTTACTGGCCCTGTCAGTGCCGGTCTTAATTATTAAAATTGAATGAGACAGGGTGTTGATATGAAATATATTATTTTTCGCATGTAATGTATTTTGTTTCTGTTATTAATTGTTTATTTTTACATTTGTATATTACGGACAAGACAATAAAGTAAAACATGTAATACTATTCACCGAATTATGGGAATTACCGATAGGAGATGGTGAATGGTACATGCCCTGAAATTAATCATTTACCTTTAGTACCAGTCAAATTGATTAAATAAGATACATTATTTTTTTATTTTTTATATACTGCTCCTTTTTATTTTGTAGGAAAAAAACCCTGTCAACAGAAGCTCCTGTCATCTGCTGTTCCCACGCTATTTCAATGGACAAAACCGAAAACCCCATCAGATGTAAGTTGGAGTGAACGGCAGTGTGTGAGAGAAAGGCGGAAGAGGAAAAGAGAGTCTGATGTTGTCCGACAATTAGAAGCTGAATTTTCGCAGCCTTTAGATGTTATTGAAGAGATCGTACAACCCTCGGATGATGATATTATATATACTGCTGTTCCATTAAAAATGGTAAAAGATTGTGCTTCGCAAACAGTAGCAAAACCAATATTTGATATTGATAACTTTGTAAATGACAATGAAGGAATTCTTTTCTACACTGGGTTAGAAAGTTACGTGAAATTCATGTTTGTATTAAATACACTTGGGCATGCAGCATATAATCTTAATTACTTATACCACCATGTCATATCTTTCTTTGTGCCAAATCAATTTATCATTACACTTATGAAACTTAGAAGAAATATGACACATTTTGAACTTTCAAGACGGTTTAATATATCAGAAGGAAGTGTTAAAAATGTAGTTTATACATGGATATTATTTATGTCAAAACAGTGGCGTGAAATTAATATATGGCCATCACGAAATTTAGTGCGCTACTTTTCTCCCTCAGACTTTAAGTCTAAATTTCCAAGTACACGTGTAGTTATTGATGGAACCGAGTGTCCCATAAAAAAATCAAAGGCCCCAAGACCTCAACAAGCGACATATTCAACCTATAAGAACAGGAATACAGTCAAAACTTTAATTGGTGCTTCACCAGGAGGGGTCGTAACATATATATCTCCTTTATACGGTAGATCAACAAGTGACAGACAAATTGTTGAACGTAGTTCTTTATTCACCATGTGTGATCCTGGAGATTCAATAATGGCCGACATAGGATTTAATGTGCAGGATTTGTTTGCGCCTTACAATTTGACAATTAATGTGCCAACATTTTTCAAAAAAAAAGAAGGACAGAATGTCAGGAAAAATTGTTGATGAAGGACCGCCAAATATCCAGTAAAAGAGTACATATAGAACGCTTAATTGGTCTTGGAAAAACATACAAAATTTTGTGTCATCCAATGTCTGGTACTGATGCTAAAGTTTCATCAGATATTATATTTGTTTGCTTCATGCTTTGCAATTTTAGACCACGAATTATTTCCACAAATGCATGAATTCAATTTTGAAAGTTGAAGTTTGATTTAAAGGCCCATTATGTCTCAGAAATTCTACCGATATTATTTCTCAAAAACAATTTTTTATTTGTTTTTTTTTTGATACAGTTTTCAAAGTTATACTCATTTGCCATATATATCGACTTTCTTTTGTAACTATAGCTCTTTTGGCAATCGGTATAATTATAGAGAGTTAGTACTTTGTCTGGATATCAAATACTTTTTTGTTTACATTTTCTTCCTTTATGACACATTACTAACGTTCAGTGCTACTTTTTTAGTTGTTTAACGTCTAGCATGCCCTTAAACCATTATTCAACAGTTTACACTATAAAACATGGAATTATAAAAAAATATTGATTTCTGAGACATTATATGCCTTTAAGTTTAAGTCTGAAATTTATGCCTATACCTTAAAACATCAAAATTCTTCAATATTTTTTTTTGTTAGTGAACCTTGTGAATATAATTTATACATTGTACATACATGTGTAAAATTTACTTTGCATGCACTTGAAATAATTTGACTAAAATACATTTTGAAGCATAAGTTTCAGACTAAGAAACATTTTTTATGTAACATGTTACTGTGAATATTTTCATATTACAGACCTAAAATGTTTTCAAAGAAAAAAATAAAATAAAAATTAGATGGAGTATCACAACATTTATTTTTTCTATAATTCTATGAGCAAAATATTTTTGATAGTTTTATAAATACATCACATGTATAAATCATTGACCATCAATACACTATGCATGTATTCTCTTACTATTATCAATAAAGTTTGATGTTTTCAGAAATCTTTTAAGTGTCACCATTACTCAACATATGTTTTGTAAAATCGTTTTTCTAAAAGTGCTTCCTTGAAATACAAATCAAAAAAGGTTTTCAAGCCCTGTATCATTTTCATAATAAAATCTTCGTCACGAGGTACTTTAAAGTAAACCATGTCAGTTATTGTGTAAACAATAAACACACACTCTTCTGCCTCAGTACAAAGAAGTTGACCTTGAATTTGAAAAAAATAATCATGATTCTTATCTAAATAAAATCCAGATTCTTTGTCAGATTTCAGATAGGGCACAGTTACACTGTTAATTGGTTTATCTTTAGCAGAATAAGGACACTTCACTTCAACTATTCGTTTGTTATTTATAATGCCATCTGGTGAGCAGGACAAAAATGGAAAATCTCTGGCAACAACAATGCCACACATTTTAACTTCCTCTCCAGATTCTGTCATATATCTGGATATGGCCATTGTTTCATATTTAAGTCCATGTTTTAATGCTGGAGCAGTTATTTTGACTACATTCACCAATGAAGATGCTAGTTTTGTTTTGTCTGTTTTGTCAGAATTCAGAGCTTTCACAATGCGACCAAACATTGATGATGACAATCTCTTTGTTCTTTCATCATACCACTGAGGGTTTTTACTCTGTCCTATGGTTCTCCTTTCAATTGCTTTTCTTTCTTCCAGTGTAATTTTGGTTACAAGAATACACTCTAAAAAATGATCTTCAGGGGTTAACAATAAATAGTCATGGTCATGAGCGACAGCCAAGCTGTTAGCTGGTTCAAACAGTTGAAATATTGGCATCATTGATGAGCCAGCAACACTGAGACATGCGTTTCTAAAGTGGTCCTTGTAACCAGGATGGTTTCTAAATTGTGGAGGGCGTGGATCAAAGTCTAGTGATGTAAATTCATCTGCTCCTGGTAAATTTAACTGATTAGCCTTTAAAGGACTTCCAATGTATCTTTTGCACTTTTGAAAGGTCTGCAGCTTTTGTGTGCATGTTTCCTGTACATGTACTGTTTTTTTAGTTGCAAATATGATACATGCATATAAGACTGTACATACATGTTTACAATGTGCATTTGGCCCCATTCCTGCAGCACACTCACACTGACTCTCAAGAATGTCCCCATTCCTTTTAAAAACAATATCGATTTTGTATGAAACACTTTTTTTCATCTCAGCCTGGCAACAGCTGTTAACATACAATTTACTGTCATCACAGTCACTTGCAAGGCGGAAAAATAGTAAAAACTTTTCATCATAAATTTTCTTTGTCAGTGCAATGTCGAAATTTTTGTCAAACGCTTCAAGATAGTCATTCACCTTTTCTAATGTAATTGGACAGAATTTTGTGTCAGAATTAACATCTTTATAATTACTTTTCTCTGGAAGCGTAATATAATAATCAGGTGCAGATACATCAGATTGTCCAAAGTTCAAATTTCTTTCATAGGCTTCCAATCTGAAAAACACGAAAAAATAACGGTCAGTTTATCTATGGAAGTTAAATAAATAAGTTTACTACTTATTGTTAATTAATTACTCAAATATTATTCAATATTTAATCACAGTCATTTGATATTTTTCCGACGTTTAACGCAGTCTGTTCGAAAAGTCGTACCCCACCCACTTACTATACAAAACGAATTTCCATGGGATGCTGGATACATCGTTCATCATGATGCTTCTTTATCACAAATACATGAAAATTACTTTCAGAAAGTTTCATACACCTTTTAACAATACAAGAACAATGGTTTTAACGTGTATCGAATGTTAAATTTTATCCAAAAAAAAAAAAAAAAAATGCGATCGCCATCGAAGCTCGGCCGTGATGTTTTCCAAGAAAAATACACACCTTTCTACTAAATCTTTCTTTCTACCCGATTGTTTCGCATTTCTTTTCTTCAATTCCTTTTTCAATTCCGGAATTGTTAAGCTTCCAAACTTAGAATCCATAAGTGTACAAGTAGCGATCCAACATCGAGTAAATAACGGACATGTACATTCCAAGATGTTTACATTTCCAGGACCGGGTGTAAAGCGCACCTAGCGGCGAAACAGGGGAAGATAACCGACTGCGATTTGCCAATGGTAAATCGCAGTGAGTTGTCGTTCCTTTGTAGGTGTCGCCACTTTACCCGGTCCATAAATATCCGGCGTACTCGGATTTTATCCTACTACAAACCAGGAAGTAAAGTTATATCTTTGTGATTTTTAACAAAAATTCTAAGTTTATAATGCCGAGTACGTGTTGTTGTGTACCAAATTGTCACAATAGAGGAGGGCATGAATTCCCAACCGAAAAAGACCGACGGGAGAAATGGATTGTAGCCATAAAAACGCCTCGATGTTGAAACAATGAAAAACTGGATACCATCGGCTTCAGCCGTTGTGTGCAAGTCGCATTTTAGGCCTGAAGATTACCTTCAGCAAACAAAAGACGGTATGTTTCGTTCATAAATTGTTAAAACATTTAGGAATAAACAAAAATTGGTACATTATACGTTCTGTTATGGTAAAATTGGATACAAATAATGATGTGTGTCAGTGGGTGGGGTAAAGCTGAAGGCTTGTGTTGCACAATGTGGGATATAATTTATAAGTTAATGGTTGACCTAGCTGTGACAACCTATATAAATATGATAAACCTTTCTACTATTTATAATGAATTGATCAGTATTATATGATGTTATACAAGTGATTTTTAATTTAGTGCAGCTGCTGATAAAACAAATTGATATTAGGGATAAACTATGCACCGGTCTCTCCCGGTCTATTTTGACCAGGGATATAGTATCATAATTCATATTTACTGGCCCTGTCAGTGCCGGTCTTAATTATTAAAATTGAATGAGACAGGGTGTTGATATGAAATATATTATTTTTCGCATGTAATGTATTTTGTTTCTGTTATTAATTGTTTATTTTTACATTTGTATATTACGGACAAGACAATAAAGTAAAACATGTAATACTATTCACCGAATTATGGGAATTACCGATAGGAGATGGTGAATGGTACATCCCCTGAAATTAATCATTTACCTTTTATTGTTATTTCAGTACTAGTCAAATTGATTAAATAAGATACATTATTTTTTTTATTTTTTACATACTGCTACTTTTTATTTTGTAGGAAGAAAACCCTGTCAACAGAAGCTCCTGTCATCTGCTGTTCCCACGCTATTTCAATGGACAAAACCAAAAACCCCATCAGATGTAAGTCGGAGTGAACGGCTGTGTGTGAGAGAAAGTCGGAAGAGGAAAAGAGAGTCTGATGTTGTCCGACATTTAGAAGCCGAATTTTCGCAGCCTTTAGATGTAATTGAAGAGATCGTACAACCCTCGGATGATGATAATATATATACTGCTGTTCCATTAAAGATGGTAAAAGATTGTGCTTCGCAAACAGTAGCAAAACCAATGTTTGATATTGATAACTTTGCAAATGACAATGAAGGAATTCTTTTCTACACAGGGTTAGAAAGTTACATGAAATTCATGTTTGTATTAAATACACTTGGGCCTGCAGCATACAATCTTAATTACTTATACCACCATGTCATATCTATCTCTGTGCAAAACCAATTTTTCATCACACTTATGAAACTAAGAAGGAATATGACACATTTTTGAACTTTCAAGACTGTTTAATATATCAGAGGGGAAGTGTTAAAAATGTAGTCTATACATGGATAACATTTTATGTCTAAACAGTGGCGTGAAATTAATATATATGGCCATCACGAAATTTAGTGCGCTACTTTTCTCCCTCAGACTTTAAGTCTAAATTTCCAACTAACACGTGTAGTTATTGATGGAACAGAGTGTCCTATAAAAAAAAACCAAAGGCCCCAAGAGCTCAACAGGCGACATATTCAACCTATAAGAACCGGAATACAGTAAAAACTTTAATTGGTGCTTCACCAGGAGGCGTAATAACATATATATCCCCCTTATATGGTGGATCAACAAGTGACAGACAAATTGTTGAACGTAGTTCTCTATTTACCATGTGTGATCCTGGAGATTCCATAATGGCAGACAAAGGATTCAATGTGCAAGATTTGTTTGCGCCTTATAATGTAACAATTAATGTGCCAACATTTTTCAAAAAAAAGAACAGAATGTCAGGAAAAATTGTTATAAAGGACCGCCAAATTTCCAGCAAAAGAGTACATATAGAACGCTTAATTGGCCTTGGAAAAACGTACAAAATTTTTGTTATCCAATGTTGGTACTGAATGCTAAGTCTCATCAGATATTATATTTGTGCCATGCTTTGCAATTTTAGAACCACGAATTATTTTCCACAAATGCATGAATTCAATTTTAGAAAGTTGAAGTTTGATTTTAAAGGCCCATTATGTCTCAGAAATTCTACACCGATATTTTTCTCAAAAACAATTTTTTTTTGTTTTTTTTTTTGATACAGTTTTCAAAGTTATACTCATTTGCATATATATTATCGCTTTCTTTTGTAACTATAGCTCTTTTGGCAATCGGTATAATTAAGAGAGTTAGTTACTTTGTCTGGATATCAAATACTTTTTTGTTTACATTTTCTTCCTTTATGACACATTACTACGTTCATGCTACTTTTTTAGTTGTTAAAATCTAGCATGCCCCTTAAACCATTATTCAAAGTTTACACTATAAAAACATGGAATTTATAAAAAAAAATATTGATTTCTGAGACATTATATGCCTTTAAGTTTAAGTCTGAAATTTAATGGCCTAATACCTTAAAAACATCAAAATTCTTCAATATTTTTTTTTGTTAGTGAGAACCTTGTGAATATAAATTTTTATACATTGTACATACATGTGTAAAAAATTTAACTTTTGCATGCACTTGAAATAATTTGACTAAAAATACATTTTGAAGCACTAAGTTTCAGACTAAGAAACATTTTTTATGTAACATGTTACTGTGAATATTTTTCATATTACAGACCTAAAATGTTTTTCAAAGAAAAAAATAAAATAAAAATTAGATGGAGTATCACAACATTTATTTTTTCTATAATTCTATGAGCAAAATATTTTTGATAGTTTTATAAATACATCACATGTATAAATCATTGACCATCAATACACTATGCATGTATTCTCTTACTATTATCAATAAAGTTTGATGTTTTCAGAAATCTTTTTAAGTGTCACCATTACTCAACATATGTTTTGTAAAATCGTTTTTCTAAAAAAGTGCTTCCTTGAAATACAAATCAAAAAAGGTTTTCAAGCCCTGTATCATTTTCATAATAAAATCTTCGTCACGAGGTACTTTAAAGTAAAACCATGTCAGTTATTGTGTAACAATAAACACACACTCTTCTGCCTCAGTACAAAGAAGTTGACCTTGAATTTGAAAAAAATAATCATGATTCTTATCTAAATAAAATCCAGATTCTTTGTCAGATTTCAGATAGGGCACAGTTACACTGTTAATTGGTTTATCTTTAGCAGAATAAGGACACTTCACTTCAACTATTTGTTTGTTATTTATAATGCCATCTGGTGAGCAGGACAAAAATGGAAGATCTCTGGCAACAACAATGCCACACATTTTAACTTCCTCTCCAGATTCTGTCATATATCTGGATATGGCCATTGTTTCATATTTAAGTCCATGTTTTAATGCTGGAGCAGTTATTTTGACTACATTCACCAATGAAGATGCTAGTTTTGTTTTGTCTGTTTTGTCAGAATTCAGAGCTTTCACAATGCGACCAAACATTGATGATGACAATCTCTTTGTTCTTTCATCATACCACTGAGGGTTTTTTACTCTGTCCTATGGTTCTCCTTTCAATTGCTTTTCTTTCTTCCAGTGTAATTTTGGTTACAAGAATACACTCTAAAAAATGATCTTCAGGGTTAACAATAAATAGTCATGGTCATGAGCGACAGCCAAGCTGTTAGCTGGTTCAAACAGTTGAAATATTGGCATCATTGATGAGCCAGCAACACTGAGACATGCGTTTCTAAAGTGGTCCTTGTAACCAGGATGGTTTCTAAATTGTGGAGGGCGTGGATCAAAGTCTAGTGATGTAAATTCATCTGCTCCTGGTAAATTTAACTGATTAGCCTTTAAAGGACTTCCAATGTATTTTTTTCACTTTTGAAAGGTCTGCAGCTTTTGTGTGCATGTTTCCTGTACATGTACTGTTTTTTATGTTGCAAATATGATACATGCATATAAGACTGTACATACATGTTTACAATGTGCATTTGGCCCCATTCCTGCAGCACACTCACACTGACTCTCAAGAATGTCCCCATTCCTTTTAAAAACAATATCCATTTTGTATGAAACACTTTTTTTCATCTCAGCCTGGCAACAGCTGTTAACATACAATTAACTGTCATCACTTGCAAGGCGGAAAAAATAGTAAAAACTTTTCATCATAAATTTTCTTTGTCAGTGCAATGTCGAAATTTTTGTCAAACGCTTCAAGATAGTCATTCACCTTTTCTAATATAATTGGACAGAATTTTGTGTCAGAATTAACATCTTTATAATTACTTTTCTCTGGAAGCGTAATATAATAATCAGGTGCAGATACATCAGATTGTCCAAAGTTCAAATTTCTTTCATAGGCTTCCAATCTGAAAAACACGAAAAAATAACGGTCAGTTTATCTATGGAAGTTAAATAAATAAGTTTACTACTTATTGTTAATTAATAACTCAAATATTATTCAATATTTAATCACAGTCATTTGATATTTTTCCGACGTTTAACGCAGTCTGTTCGAAAAGTCGTATCCCACCCACTTACTTACAAAACGAATTTCCATGGGATGCTGGATACATCGTTCATCATGATGCTTCTTTATCACAAATACATGAAAATTACTTTCAGAAAGTTTCATACACCTTTTAACATTACAAGAACAATGGTTTTAACGTGTATCGAATGTAAAATTTTATCAAAAAAAAAAATGCGATCGCCATCGAAGCTCGGCCGTGATGTTTTCCAAGAAAAATACACACCTTTCTACTAAATCTTTCTTTCTACCCGATTGTTTCGCATTTCTTTTCTTCAATTCCTTTTCCAATTCCGGAATTGTTAAGCTTCCAAACTTAGAATCCATAAGTGTACAAGTAGCGATCCAACATCGAGTAAATAACGGACATGTACATTCCAAGATGTTTACATTTCCAGGACCGGGTGTAAAGCGCACCTAGCGGCGAAACAGGGGAAGATAACCGACTGCGATTTGCCATTGGGAATTACCTTAGTGCTGCCGGGGTTAGTGTGACCGCAACAATAATTTCGCCCCAGATCGTCCCGAATCATCCCAGTAACTTACCGGGATGGTCCTGGACTCTGCCGGGAGTAAGTGAGACCGAAGCTTTACCAACTACGCTAAGGATTTTAAATATAAACCATTTAAACGAAAAAGATATTTACATTCATATCGATTTACAAGTATATCACGCTTACGAAATATACCGACTACAGGGACTACAGTGTCATATACAAGATGCCAGGTCAATGTTGTTGAACAATACAGTACGGATTCATTTTATGTGTAAACAAAAATTCTAAAAATTCGACTGAAAATGTAATGTTTCACATAAAGAATCGAATATAACCATTATTTTGCAGATAAATTGTAAATGCCCGTATGTTGAACTCGATTACGTGGTCGTCGGGATTGCACGTTAGCGAACATTTTGTCATGTGATCGAGCTTGACAAAATGTTCTCTTTTTGTAATTTTTTATATCAGACAAAAATGAACTGTCAAACATAAGTATGATTTTTATATGGTCTTACTAATTTATATATACACTTAAAAAAAGTTCTAACCGATCACTTTTTAAATTTTGATTACTTTATAACGGGTCAATAGATCCTTATAAAATTTTGCAGAGGTGATTTTTGTGTCATTTTCTACCGATTTGTGGAATGAAAAATAATTTAATACGGTTCCATGCACTCACGCGGGAGGCAGGGGGCGGTTTACACATTTCGGCACGAAATGATCGTGCAGAGCGTGGTGAGTATTAAATTTTACATTGCATAAATCCTTGTTAAGTGTACATGTATAAGTGAAAAAACATAAAACATGGCACGAATGTTGATGCAGGATCGTGCCGTAGCAGTTGGAATGTTGAATGCTGGAGCCTCTATCAGACAGGTGAGTGGCTGTTCATAAAAGTATTTTTTTTTTTTAAATATCGATAAAGTATTATTTAAATAGAAAAATGTTATAATTTTATTATTCTCAATGTGTTCATTCTCTTCGAAATAAAATAAAAGTCGGATCTATTTGTATTATTCTTTTTCATATATAAGCGAAAACTCAGGTAGATCGGTTAGAACTTTTGTTCAGTGTATATCAAATATCAAATATACCGGTATATGTGTCCAACTTTATTTGTCATCCAATGGAAACGCTGTATTTCTTCAAAATAATGAGTGTTAATTTTCATAGAAGAACAAAAGTCCATACTATGTATATGTTAGTGTTCATCCGAGCTGTTCTACAGAAATTAGAAACTTTGACGGGAGAATGTCACATATACTTAGTGTCAAGCTTTAATTGCGTTACGCTGACAATTGTTAATTTTTCGATATTTTAATTTATATCTCAAGTACCCATGACTGAAGATAATATACAGTTATGATAACTGTTTAACACTGTAAAATGGGACTTGGCCGCCGCGTCACTAAATAATTCTCCTAAACGTACAGTACATGTACACGGGGAGGAGGTATTCGAGAGATGGAGTTATTATGATAACTTGTCAAGGAGTTCTTGTGAGAACTGTCACGGAGTTCGTATGAAAACTATTGAATATACTGCTAAAACTCGTAAAAATCGTAATTTTCATCTCTAAATAGTGAGTTTTAGGTGCTACATCAAATGGTACATTTATCTGGAAAAAATATTTTCAGTCCCATCATGTCAAAAATCCTCAGTTGAGTCCCTTAAAGTGTATTTGCTTGATAAGTTTTTTTTTTCATTTTTGACTTATTATAACTGTTTTCTCAACGACCGACATTAATAAAGTATTAATTTAAAAAAGTTGTTCTGCACATTTGCATAATTATACTCTTAACAATTTTTAAAGAAGCGCATTATATCAGTACAGGAGAGACAACCCCTACAGCGAGCACAATATAGTATTTGCAATAGTTATGTTTTCTTAGTTATGATAAGTGTCCCCGTTTATCGTCGAGTATAGATTCTACAATCTTGCAGTGTAAACTAACACAACTACATGTATACATTTTTTTTGTATTCTTATTATTTTGCATTTAACGTCATGTAATTTTCTGTTGAAAGTAAATGCTTATTATTTTGTTAATATCGGTACGGAAGCTATCGAGGGACATTTATTACTCAAAACTTACTATTAATTACTAAATTCAAATTACTGTTTTTAATGATAAAATTGTATAGTACTCATAACTAGTCGCTCAGGAGGGTGTTACGGTTGTATAATTGCAAAATAATGTTGTTTACATAGAAATTGTTTACACGAAAACATCTCTACGGTGGCACAAAGGAGACATTTGTGCACTGTTATATATCTCGTGCGCACGTGATACTTTGTCGTAGCCACGAGTTATTTAGTCAGTCCTACGCATAAACCCAAGATTTCCAGTTTTCCCCCAAAATTTCATATCTCTGGCCAGTGATGAGCATTTAATTATAATTACATGGCTTGTCACAGTATCACTGATAGCAGCACACTAGAATGTTTTATGATCTTATCATGTTTCAAGAATGTATAGTTTTAGCTGGAGGATATAGAGAACATTTTAGATATAAGGAAAACTAAGATTTTCATAGATACATTCAATTGGAAATAAGTTAAAGACTAAAAAGACTGGATTACATTAATTAAAAAGAATTTTAATCACTTACAACTCACAATGACAGGGATACAGTGTTGGGATATATTAAAAAATTAATTTTAGAAACAAAAATATTGAATAGGTTTTTTATTTCTAAAATTTCTTTTTACACTTTCCCAACACTTGCACTAATGTATAATTACTTTCATGGTAAATGCATATCATGCCTCAGACATTTATATTATTTCTATTTTTTTCTTAAGGAGCAAAATAATGTTTAGTAATGATAATAAAAATAATGGGTTTAAAGCATTATTGATGCTTATCATTCATTTTGATTGAAAAGAAGCTCTGAAGTGAAAAAAAAAAATGTAAAAAAGGTGGCAAAATGTAACCAAAGTAGTATTTTGACTTCCATACAAAATACTAAATCACTTTAACTTTACCAATTGAAAAAGAGCAGATAATAGTAAAAAATTGATGACCTTTAAGTTATTGTTAGGAAACCATAACTGGACACGAAAAGTCACAATAGCTGCCAGAGGAGCCAGGACTCAGGACAAAGATAATACTCAGAAATATATGAATTTTCACTTAATCCCATGTTCAAAATTTAATGGAGATAATACTAAAATACAGGAGTTATAAATCTATTCGCACCTGATATAAGTGTTCAGAAACATATTTTTAAGTCCAAATTTAATGCGGAAAATTCTGAGTAAAAAAGGATGATGATTCTGAAAATATTGACGCTAGAGTTATGTAGCTTGTCATGTTATTGTTTAAAGTTAGAAGTAAATTCTTTCATAAATAAAGAAGTAAGAGCGAAATATAAATATATAAAAATAATATATAAAGAAGAGCTGTCACAGAACATGACAAATGCCCCTTAAGGATTCTAGTTATGAACCACCTATAACATGATAAGTGTGGTGGTAAAAATTGACAAAGTTCGAACCCCAGCTGAGTGACCTTTAAGTTAGAGAAAGAAACCTTGGTCTTGTTCACAACACATTGTCCATCTATGGTGACTTTATATATTTAAAAAAAAAATGAAACTTTCATGTATATGGAAGTTACAGAGCGAACACAACAAACATCATTTACAGTGTGGCAATACCACGTGACATTGACGTCATTTTCGGCATCATTTCCAAGACAAATGTTGCTCGATTCGGAACAGAAAATAGCCGTAAAAATTTTATTTCTGTACCAATTTCTTTGGGATATGCACCAGTCTACGGGGAAAAATATAAGCTTTCCACAGAATATTGGATCTTCGTCAGTTTATAAGCTGTTTTATCAAACACTTTGCATAACCTTGGAAGTTGCTTGTATTAGAGCGGGCTTCAGTTGCAAGCTATTTCGTTTTCTGGCGTTATCTGGTCTACGTCATGATTAAAAAGTCAGGTTTACATCAACCGGGAGTACGGAAGGCACAACTCTACCTAAATATGTTCATATTTTTATTATGAATGACATAAATCTTAAATTTTCTTCAATTGTCAATTCTGGCACCAGTTCCAAGTCGAAAAAAAGGACTACAGTTTAAAGCAGATTTTAGAATCCGTTGCAGATGCAAAGCAACATGCCTACCGTTCTCTTTCTACAATTTAGTTTTTCATTGTTGATCTTTCACAGAGAGATTGTGAAAAAACCGATTGTTCCTTAAAGCAATAACTCTTACTTGTATCGCAATAGTGCACGTCAAAACACGCAGATCGGAAGATAATATTTTGGTTTCGTTTTGAAGATGTTTAAAGTATTGCTCATTTTATTGTATGTAGTAAAATGTGTTTTATTCTATTTCACAATGGCGAAATTGATAAGAAATATATGTGCTCTCAGTGAGAGAAAGAGTTAAAAAACACTTTAAATTTGTATGCTATGGAAAGGGTTACACTTTAATAACGCGAGTGTTGTAAAGCTAAAGGTTTTTTTCAGTTTATTTTTGTAAAGAGTAACTGACAAACACTGACACTCGTGAATGTGACGAATAGGTTCTTCTGTCCTCAAAAGAGAGACTTTTAAAAGATATATATATTTTCTGGAATTGTTGTATAATAAATTTCTATAGAGTTTGATAAAAAAAAAACGAAATCACAATTTGAACTTTGCCGTGTAAATCTGATAGTATTGTTACTACAAGTTGCATTACTTGTGATTCTCTATTTATAAAAAAAGACCCAAAATAGCCATGAATAAGAACGAGAATGGACGCCATGTGGAGTAAACAAAGTAGAAAATAGTAAACAGATAAATGATTTTACAAACAAACAGCCATCGATCACAGTCAAATTTCTTGAAACAAAACATTCAAAAAGACGGAAATAACAATGATTATC